CCCACCCTCCCTCTCTCTCTCCCTCACATCTCTATCTCATGTTCTTGTCTTGCTCCTACTCTTTCTTAGTTTCTCGTGTCAGGAAGGCAGAGGAACTATGTGGGTTGGTGGTTCCTCCTGCATATTTAATCCAAATTAAACATATAAGGGCTATTCTACATTCAATTACTCATACCAAGTTGGGAGATACAGTACCAGAATATCCCCCTACTTCTTTCTGATTGGACCTAGAACTAGATCCATGCATTTTTAGTGAAAAAAGAGCTACTGTATGTGACATCAGGCCCTGATAATATTTAAAGCCACTGATTACCAGACCGCTTGAAGTCTTTCCAGTGGGTTTGATAAGAAATGGTTCCATCTGTGTGTAGAAGGGATTAAAGAAACACGCTAAATGATGTGTATGTATGAGGAAGATAATTAGTCATCATCCAGAAAAAAATTATGCAACTCTTTTACCATTCCCTCTCATTGCCCCTCTGTAAAACGCAAGAGCCTGGACATTATTTGTTGATTAGTTTTGCATTTTGCTCCTCCCTCCTTCTTCCAATTTAAAACCTAACAATCTATCATATATCAGATCAGATCTTATACTGGGAAATGAGCCAGGACACTAAAATTACACCAAATGAAACCATAAAGCACATAAGCAGAACTATTGTTTGCAGCTCCAAAGAGCACTTAATTGTTTTATAATTTACTGCCAAACTAACTTCACAGAAATATATTAATGATATCATTCATCATGTGGCATCTTGAAATATAAAAAAGCCCAAAAAAGGAGCAAAAAGTGGTTATGAGGCTTGAATACAGCTGCCAATTCTACTACTAGTCAGACAAATATATAAGTACTTACTGTATGTATGGATACATTTCAGTGTGCATGCAATAGGGATTTTTGCCTTTTGATATAAAGCATGAGCAGTCCTGAGTACTGCATAAACAAAGTAGAGGCAATGGGGTAATAACTGAAGCACAAACTGTCAACATTAATAAACCAACATGCTGAGAATAATAAAAAGCAAAATAAGACCTTCTCCCTCCTTCTTTCCATTTGCCCTCACACACACAAACCCCCTCTCATCCCATCTCATTTTTAGTTTTTCTGTTGTGCATCTCTTTGGGTTTCCTGCTGCAGAGTCAGAGAAATGAAAGCATAGTCATACTTGCACAGAAACAAACTTGCATTCTCATTGTCTCTCTCTCACATTCACACCCCTTTCAAACTGATGTACTTACCCTGGATAAATGTACATTTGCAGCTAAATGTGAATGAGTCCGTGCACATGTTTCAACCTGGTTTTGTGAATTTAACTTGGGTGTTAGCATGGGTTTGGCACTACTTGGCTTTTGTACAAGAGTAAACATTGGTTTCTGTAAGCACTATTACTATTGCGGTACAGGTACTATAAAACTCATATGCGCTCACTGAAGACCTTATTGCATACTGTATACCATACCACTGAACGCAGTCTAATGCAACAGCTTTGCCTCTGATTCCATACACAATGTCTACAATAATTGGACGAAAATGGCAAGAAAACTTCCCCATAAGATCTACCACACACGAAGTATGATCTGAATCCAAGTAATATTCTGGATGCGGTGATCCAGAATTTACAGGGCTCACCAAAAACTCTCTTATGGAAAACACACTGTGAGACAACAGATAAAGCTACAGACTTGTAACTAATATCAAATTCTAGCTGAAACTCTGCTGATTCAGTAGACTGTCAAACAATTTGATCTATCTTCAGAAGTTACTGAGCTAGATCCCGACAATAACCACCATTACTGAAATATCACATTTCTTGAATAACCTTCAAACTAATCAGAATCAGTTTTATTGGCCAGGGGTGTTGGACGCACAAGGGATTTGATTTCGGTACAGTGGCTCTCAATAAATATGTACAATGTTCTTCCGGGAGGCAAAAAGTAAACAAATAAACAAGATAAGACTGAGAGGACAAAAAAGAAAAAGAATGTGCATTAGAAAAATAAAAATAAAGTAGTTATAAATATAAAAATATATATACACACAGTTTAGATGCGGTTTTCCAGATAGATATATACAAAAGTATATTTACAAGGTATTGTCATTCTGTTATACAGTCATAGGTGTGTAAGTGTAATAATGATATCAATGTGATTCTAAATGCTAGGGATGGGTACTCATGGTCAAAGAGTGATATTATCAGGGTCAAACTATCACGGGAACATTGTGAATACATAATTTTATATAATAGGAATATACAGTATAATTTTAGTTTTAAAGGGAGCACCTTTATCTTTTTGCCTCGGGGACCCTTATGACTACTTCCTCCAATCTAACACACATGCACTCTATGACTTTATCGGTCCAAGCTGGAGGGACCCCCGTGATGCCTATTGTCCTGATAAATAGGAGGCTTGTGAAATCAACTAAGAGAAACAGACAGAAAGGTACAAAACAGCTGAGAGATGACACATCTATTTCTCTCCTTCTCGAACAACTATATTCAGCTCAGTTTGTTTTTCTTTTTTTGACTCTTATGCATGCATGGTGCATGGGCACCGATGACTACAGTGTGTCTGCACTGAGAAAAGCCTTTTTATGGAGCCTTTTGACACACAAGGAGCAAAGTTTTATGTCACTGGTAAATTGTTGAAGTTATAAGCCAAAGATGATCATTTATTTTTACAGTCATACATAAAATATGTAGTGCATCATCCTTGTTATGATCTCCTATCCCACTGTTTCTGTGCCTGCACTTTGCTATTTTGGTGGCAATTTTTATGACAGTACCTGTACCTGCATGGTTATCCAGATGTTTTAATTAATTATGCAAGTTACACAAGTCCACAGGATGCCTTGCCCACTACTTCAACTCACAGAGCAGTGTAGTGATTAGAAAGACTGCTAGATCAAATTCCTTCATAACAAACATATGTAGTTTTGAAACTCAAACTCTGCCAGAACTAGATTTTTGCATTTATATTGTGAACAAAGAGCTAGTGCTAAATAACACTTTCTTTCTTAGGAAGCAAATGGGCTATCCAAAAAACAAACAAACAAAAACCCATAATTGGTCTCTAAAATTCAGTGATATTATGCAATACAATATGCAATGGGGAAGCAGGCTTTGTGGACTTCTATGATGCTGACAAAATGAAATTTTCGTGCTCAGTTTCTTTACAGTGGTTATAAGTTGAGAAAGAGGCAGTATCAGTTTATCTGGCTTCTACAGCTGCTCCTGCTAAATGATTCATGCTACACTGTTCTGCCCTAGTGTACTGTGTTGAGAAGATACATCAGTGCGAGTATCAACAAACCACTGAGAATGTAATCAATCCATTTAAATGCTGCACAGCCATGACCAATGCCGGGTTCTCTGCATAAAACTGTGTGCTTTATGTGTCTGTGCACATGCTTTTGATTTCTTTTGTCTGACTCACTATGACATTACTGCGATCAACTGTATCGTGGTCAACATATGTAAACAAACACACACACGTGCAGACACTTGAGGAAAACACAGAGATAGGCCATTGTTACACACACAACATTTAGCAGCATTTACAAGAAGTTGGTTTCATATGACTGACAGTGCTCTAAAGGGACTGGGGCTCCTGTCCAGGAGAGGGGGATGTGTGTGACAGCCACACTTGACAGCATGTGTTTTGACTTCCTTGACTTCAACACTCCAAAAGGGTGCAAACTCTCAAGGTGGACGCCATTTGGTCCCAGATGTCATTTGAATTTACATTCACTTAACATTATATGTAATACATAAAAGATAGGAAAAGAAATGCTTCAGTAAATGTTTCATGATGAGCAACTTTGACATATTTTTCTTGTCTTGGACTTCACTATAACATCAGAGACATTAAGGATTAAGCAAAGGGCTGTTTGAGGGTTAAGACTTGGTTTTAGGGGTAAGGGTAGAATTAGGTTTAGGTTAGGGATACAGTAAAGGTTGAGCATAGATATTTAGTTGTGATCATTAAAGATCTTCTCCAGAGGGGTTTTAAGGCTTATAAAAAATACTCAGCTATGAAAAATATACTGTCTAAGAGTTTTTCCACAAAAACGTTGAATAAATCCTGCTTTCCTCAGGTTGACTGGTGAAATCCCTGAGGATGTGGATACAATGGCAGGGGGAAAAAAATGAAAAGATTCAGTCGGATATGTTTGAGCCTCATTCACAGGCTGATCAGGAGTCTATTGTTCACCAAAATGTCCTCACAATGTATATGTGAAAGCAGGTGCATCTGTCTATATGAATCTGTGCTTCCATTTTTTTGTATATGTACTGCTCATGTCATGCATGTGCATGTTTGAAAGTGACCCTCACCAGCTCCTTCTTCTTCATGCACTCCATGAGAATGATAAACAGATGTTGCGCCTGCGTGCGGCTGTAGGTGAATGTCTTCTGGATGGTCACCAGCAACTGGTCTCTTAGAGACTCGTTAATTATGCTGCAGGGGCAGAATTAAGACAAAAGGGTGTCAGACGGGGTCAAATAGAGGTAAGGAGAAGAAAATAGTGAGGGGGAAGCAGGCAAATTAGATTTGTCAGTCAGTAAGTGAAACCAAGGTTAGGACTCTCAGCACTACTGTCTCTGATCGTCTGTAGACAAATATATGAAGCTGGAAAAACTATTCTGAATTGTGCGTCACATATGGAATACAGTATAACCAAAAATGTTTACTTGTGTCTTATTAAAGTAATGAGTCAGCACATTTCCAAAAGCTGATACATTGTTGCAAGTTCTTTCATCACTTCATGTTTTTTTCTCCTGAAACTATATTTTCCAAAGAAACACATAGCTGCAGAATCAGAGCACATTGTTGTACATTGGAAAATATACACACTACAACTGATTTTCTACACTGGATAAAATTCATATTAGTAAGCTACTGTTTTTGAATTACAGCATAATGTGCATATGTGAGCGCATACCCTCCCTCCTCAGAGTATTTGTGTCCGAAGGCCAAGATGTCCGAGGCTCTGCCGCTGCCATCACACACCACCACAGGGACTGGAGGAGTGTCCCTGAGGTACTCCAGCACTATGGAGATCACATTAGGGCCTCCCTCTACAATCAGAGCCACCACTGGCACACCCTGACCGATACCTGCACACACACAGCAGGAGTAGGAGAAACAAGGGGTGAACAATGCAGAAAAATGAAAAAGGAAAAGAGTTCAGGGTGGAAAAAAGACAAATAAAGGATAGTCAATAAACAGGCTTCATTCCATCAGCAATACTTGATCCATAAATAGAAAAAACGTAATCCAAATTTGTTACTAACAAGGTGTAAATGACACCTGTGATGTCTCATAACTCTGTTGTCAAGACACTGTACAGCTGCAATGGCAGAGAAGGATTGAGAAAAAAAACAAACATGTGTACCAGAAATAACCAGCCCACTTTATACTTTGTACTCCATAGTTTGACTCTTCCCATTGTCTTTCGAATAATTTCATTTTTATCTCCAAACGGTGTGATCTTGGTTAGTGAGGTAATTATCCACAGAGGTAATTGTGGGTAATTAGCAGGGTGTTTTGACTCTGTTCATACAGTGAAAATATGTACAGGAGGGTCTACTGTAGATATGGAAGGTCTTGCCCAACTTAAAGGATTTTCCTGGCTTATTCTTGATTCCCTCTTTGTAGCTTGTTTCCTCTGTACTTGGCTTCTTATTATACCACCGAGCACTGCCTTTAAGACACCATAAGCACTGTAAACTCCAGAATCGCATTTGGTTTTACTCCATTATGCCCTTTGCCCTTTTATGGTCTCTGTCATCCATTTCTTAAACCCTTCCCCTCTCATCCTGCCCTTTCCTGCTCTCTCTCTCACTCACTGTCGTCCTCGCCACCGTTTTCTTTCCATAGCCACTCAGTTCACATTCAGCTTCACGTGGTTGTGTTTTCTGCTGAGTGTTGACTCTTTTAATTCCAAAGCCGTGTAACTGCTGGATCTTTTTCGCCCAGCACCCCCATCCTGGTCTGCATAATTCACAGAGGGGTAGGCATAGTCTGTCTCTCAAACATGCATGCAGATGAGTCCCAAGTACAAACTCATACTTGCGTATGGTATACACACACTCACACAAGCACATGCACATATTCAGAAGCATTCCCATTACCATTATGCTTTGCCTCCCAGAGCCTCATGCGGCCTTGCAACAGGAACAGTTACATAAGGAGAATATTTTAGGGGCCTTGCGTACTTCAAAGAGGTAAAACATCACTGTGCCACAACACATCACCCAACCAAGCATCAACAGGGCAGAGTGCGAGAGCACAGCAGATTAATGCCTTACATTTTGTATTAGATTCTTCCATTTCTTCTGGATGCCCGTTTTTGATGTTACTTGAATGTGTGCATGTGAGTTTGTGATTGTGTCAGATCAAGTATTGATACTGATGACTAGTGAGCTTTGGAGGCAACGCCACACGTCAAAAGTAAGATCACAACATCACAGCAGAAGATTAAGTATTTAATGCAATTACAGCTGCTGTGCCACATGTGAAAATTGTGAACCAAACCTCTCCTAATGTGGAGACATGAATAGATTTGTGCTCTGCCTCAACTTATCTTTCCAAGGCTTCTAATATGCTGTACTTTACTGTCAACTGACCTGCTGGCATGATGCATGTCAGGTGCAGTCAAAACAAGCCACAGGGAGATGGGAGAGTGGATCACCATGTCTGTAGTTTTATTGTTTCGAGAAAATATATTCCATATATATCTACAGTAGGCTAGTTGTTTTGTGTTGATCTTTAATTAGATCAACTGTTATTTTTATTTTTGTTATTGCTCATATACTTGTGTGGTGTCCCTGTCATGTGATGTGTGGTCTGCCCACCTGTTCTCTCAGGAGGGAAACTACCCTGAAGAAGTGTGAAAAAGCAGAGGCAGATGAAAAGGGGAAATGTGCTCAGTGAGAATCCACGGCCACAGTGTTCTACATTATATTTATCCATCCTGAGAAACAAGGAAGTATAAAGGAAGAGAAGGATTTAGTGAGGAAAAGAGGAGTGTGTAAGCAAGACATGCACAGCATTCTTAAATAGTCCTAATTAGGATCCAGAAATGACTCATACTCTGTGTGCTACATGACTGTGTGTGTGTGTGTGTGTGTGTGTGCGCGAGTGTCTGCGAGTTTGTCCGTGCATGTGTTAAAATTAGTATCAGCATGACTGGAGGAGGTGTGCTACAGTATGTGGGTCGATGTCTTCACAGCCCCCCCCCTCCCTGCCCTGGGAAAAAAAAATGCTCTCACACATGCACAAACACCATTATTCTAGAAACAATAAAAGCAAACAAGAAACATCAGATCCATGAAGGCACTGAACAGGCTACACAGCAGTCAGCAGGTGTGGGAAACTAAAAGAGCAAAGTTTCTCTCAGAATTAACTTTTTTTGGTCATTTTGTGACATCGAGAAATCCTGTTGTGTCTGACTTGCAAGAATTAAGATTAAATCAAATGCTGAATGGTAATTGTTACACTGAAATTAGTGGTCATTCTTCCTGCCTCGGAACAGGAAAAAGTGACTCCAGTGAAGGGTTGTGTGCAGGGTTGACCCTTATTTGCATGTATCCCCTGATAATCAAAATGGATTGCAATCAGAATTGTGATCCAGCTGAAGAAGACTCGCATGTATGGCTAAGTGTAAATAAAAGGTATCAGATCTCATCTGGATTTAGCTGTGATACAAGTCACTGAAAATGGCAAGTATAAGCGGGTTTACAGCTTATCTTAATCTGTTTCTTATGTGACAAAAAGACAGATTGACCTGTCCACATCAAAACATTCTGGATTCAGCTCATGTGACATTGCTTCACCAAATAATAAACAATCTACTGTCTGCAGAGCATTTAAATGACCCATTAGAGCAACAGGCAACATGTCGTTATGCCACAAATATTATGTTCCAGCCTCTATCTCACCTTGTTTGGACTCTAGCTAATCACTGAATTACTATAACTGCAAGAATGCAGTAAGACAGGCTTACTCACAATCACAGTTTAAAGGATCTGTAACATATATCTCTTACACGAAGAGACAATTGGTGAAAATAATAAATTTACCTGATGTGAAGAAATAGAAACAGAACCATTAAAAATTGCCCAGTCTTGTCTAAACTTTTAAAAAATTTAGTAGTATGCTTTGAGCCAGTTTGTACAGGTCTGAAGAAGGATTGTTACAGCTCGCTTGCCTTCAATGTACTACAAATCAACAATAATCTTTTCTATGTGGGTTGCTCCATGGTAGAGGTCACAGTCTCATATCATCTGTGGCACAGAACCTAATGGCTTCTAGATTCAATTATTCTAGCTACTTCATGTTTTACGTATACTGTGATTAATGAGACCACTGCTATAGGAAGGTAAGTGAAGGTTACACAGTTGAAACAGAGTTAAAATACACACAACTACACCTATGCACACATTTAAGATACAAAGTACTTACAGTATGTGCCCACCTTAATGTTCCAAACTTAAGGTCCCTTATACATTTTCACAGACTTGATCTAAACTTGCACAAATTAATTGTTTTTTTTTGTGCCTGGATTGTGCATCCAATTTTAAACTATCACATGTGCAAACATGTGAATGAAAATGATTTAGGGTATTTTTATTTTCCTCTTGTTCAATTTTACAAGAGAAAATAAACATTCATGGATGAAGCCTATTATGTTCTTTCTCTCACTGCCTTTTCACTTTTTTATCCCCTGCTTTTCAGTTAAGACACCTCAAGGTAATATCTCGTCTCACTGCCTGCATCCCCCTCAGCTGCCTCACACTTCCTTCACACTTTATATAATTCTCTTCTGTCTTCTCACTCGCATTCCCTTTTCTCAGTCTCCTTTCTTTTTATTCTACTTTTCCTCTCTGTGAGGCAGGTGTGACTTAAAAGCATTAGAGCCACTGCTAGAGACATGTCAGAAAGGCTTGCAGTGGTTCAGTGAGCTGCGCTGGCTGGTGCCAATCATTTTATTGATTTTTTTATATCGTTGAGTTGACAACATCTGCTAGTTTCTGAAGATGGAGGAGCTCAAGAGAAAGAAATGTCCCTGTCTGAGTGTGTGTGTGTGTGTGTGAGTGTGTGTGAGAGAGAGAGAGAGAGAGACCTTAAAGATCACAAATATATCAGGATGAGCAATTTATATGGCACTTTTTATATATTTTGTATATAATTATGGAAAAAATGTTTATGTTCCTGCATTTGCATATGAAGTGCCCTGTGCTGCCTGTGTTCATTCCTTTTCATGATCCTCCAGGCCCATTGGTGTATGCGTCTCTGTCAATATTCTATCAAGGCAGACCATGTCAGACTCATTAAGTCACAAGAGAGTCATACATGTAAGGCATTGCACAGCATATGGATGTGCTGGCTCCATCCACTATATTCACAGCCTCCCAATTCCATTTTCCTGGCATTTAATGTGTTTACACCTGGCCAGCATTGTCCCCGAGATCTTCACTCCACTTTTCACCGAAGAGCTTCCCACCACATCAAATATACAAAAGAGACCGGAGGAGAAAGTATGCAACACTAATGCATTATAGGAAGGTAAAAAGTGAAAGGTTTAGGGACCATCAGTTGTGACAGTTGCCAGTGGTGTCACCATAACTTGCAATGGAGATGTGCAATGTGCAAAATAACCACAAACTGTGTTCAACAAAAAAATCTAAACAGTTCAGTAAAATTATCATGACTTAAAACATTTGTTAAGACTTGGTTTGCACTAATGTAGTCAGACCAAAATGCCCATACATCTGTCACATAGAATTGATTCCCATAATTAAAAATTGTGTTATAATACTGTGGAGCCAATTTGATTGCTACAGCATTTCTGGCACTGACATGGTGATAGCCATTGCATGGAAAATCATACACGGGCACAGTAGGATTAGCTGTAGGATTGCCCAGACATCACAATACCGCAGGGGGAGATTAGGCATATCTCTCCCTCACGCTTCTGTCATCTTGTGTTTGCGTGCACTGTCAATGAGTGTGTGTGTAGTGTCTGATAGATGTGAGTAAAGACACCGGGTATATTCCGAACAGTCTATTTAATTGAATACTTTTACACAGCAGCAGTACAACACTTGTGTAT